CCTTTTATCTAAATTGAACTAAATCTTTTAGGCATTCTTCCAAATGTATTGTGTCATATGCCAAGAGAGTTAAAGGTAAACAGATTTATTCTCAGAAGCTTTCAAATTGAATTTCAAGACATTAAATTGTGCTATATGCTTGCAGGTCAGGATCCCCCATTAGTAATTAGAACCCATTGTACAAGGGCCCAAGATGCTTCTGTAACTTCCTTTAATAATGCCTCCATTTTAGAAATTGTAAGGCAGCCACATGAGCTTCTGTTAATACTTTCAGAAAACCTTATGTAATTGGACAGGCAACTTGAAAAGATACAGCCTTTGGTAGAGTAGTACTTTGATCTGTCTTTATGTAAGACTTCAATACCCACCTCCATCTGTAAACTGCTTTTCAATCTCTAAGAGTGGAAGTCATAGATAATCACTCAATATAGAATGGGGTATAACTGGTTTGGTAACTACACTGCTGAGGAGGCTCTTGGAGTTGTGGCGGATCACAACTTCAACATGAGTCAGTAATGTGATGCTATTGCAAAAAAAGCAAAGGTAATTTTAGGTTGCATTAATGAGAGGCATAGCATGCAAGTCACGGGAGGTGATAATACTGCTGTTCTTGGCACTAGTTAGGCCTCAGCCAGAGTACTGTGTCCAATTTTGGTCACTAATGTATAGAAAGGATGTGAAGAAACTGGAAATGATCCAGAGGGGAGCAACAAAAATGATCAAAGGGATGGAATGCAAGCTATACGAGCAAAGGCTGAAGGAACTGGGTATGTTTAGTTTGGAAAAGAGGAGATTGAGGGGGCATAACAGCGGCTTTCAAATATTTGAAAGGCTGTCATAAAAAAGAGAAAAGTTGTTCTCTCTTGCCGCAGAGGGCAAGGCAAGAAGCAATGGGTTTAAACTACAGCATAGCAGATTTAGATGAATTCTCAGGAAAAACTTCCTAACTGTAAGAACAGTAGGACAATGGAACACACTGCCTCGGGAGGTTGTGGAAACGCCTTCGCTGGAGGCTTTCAAAAGGAGGCTGTCATGGATGGTTTAGACACAACAAATCCTGTGTCTTGGTAGGGCTTAGACTAGATGACCCTTGTGGTCTCTTCTAATCTATAGAATATATAGCAAGTTTATACCTTGACATATGTTGTTATATTTTATATTGAATTTTAAACAGGTTTATTTTTTTTAAAATAAACTTATTTGATTTAAATAAAAATAGTGTAAATAAAATCATTTTAAATTTAAAAAACAATTATTTTATCCACCGTTATTAAATGATATTGTTAATATTGTTGTATCACCTAGAGGGCACAGTCAGGTTGTGTTTCCATCATCTTAGATGCTGTACAATGTATACAGGGCTTCTGATTTTTTATTTTAATCAATTAACTCTGATAAAACACTAGTGATTTTTTTTAGAAGAAATTGGTGTTCATGCAGTAAACACCAGAAAAACACTGGAAATGGTTACTTGTAATAGCCATTGATGGACCTATCCTCCATGAACTTATCTAGTTCGTTTTTGAACCCTGTTATAGTCTTGGCCTTCACAACATCCTATGGCAAGGAGTTCCACAGATTGACTGTGCATTATGTGAAGAAATGCCTTCTTTCTTTTAATGCCTTCTTTTCTTTCTTTTAAGTCTTGCCTATTAATTTCATTTGGTGAACCCTAGTACTTGTGTTATGAGTAAGGCTGCAAGTTTGTCACGGATTCCGTGACTTTCTTGGACCTCCGTGACTTCTGCAGCGGCCGGTATGGCTGGCCCCGGGGCCACCTGAGCAACTCAGGCAGGTTCTGGGTCGGCTGAAAGCTGCTGCTGGAGCAGTCTCAGCCCACTGCACCCCTTTCCCCCAGTAGCAGCAGGAGTTTGGGTGTGGGAGGGGGCTCACGGCTGGGGGTTGGGGCACGGGAGGGGGTGAGGGCTCTGGGCAGTGCTTACCTCGGGAGGCTCTCTGGAAGCGTCGACATTTCCCTCCCTCAGCTCCTTGCTCCATGCGCTGCCTCTGCCTGCAGATACCACCCCGCAGCTCCCATTGGCCACAGTTCCCAGCCAATGCCAGCTGCGGAACTGGCGCTTGGGGTGGATGCAGTGCGCAGAGCTGTCTGGCCGTGCCACCGCCTAGGAGCTGAGAGAGGGGGATGTTGACACTTCCGGGGAGGCACGGAGTCAGGTAGGGAGCCTATCAGCCCTGCCGCCCCCCCCCCCCACACCAGTGGGGATTCCAGGCTGCCCCCCCAGTGCCTGTAGTCACCTGGGCCACCCACCCAGCACCCTCTGCACCCCCAGGCTGCCCCCCATGACACCCCTGGGCTGCCCCCCCCCACCCCCAAGATTTAGTCAGGGGTATATAGTACAAGTCATGGACAGATCATGTGCCATGAATTATTGTTTACTGCCCATGATCTGTCCATGACTTTAACTAAAAATACCCATGACTAAAATGTAGCCTTAGTTATGAGAAGGAGTAAATAGCACTTCCTTATTTACTTTCTCCACACCAGTCATGGTTTTATAGACCTCTTTCATATTCCCCCTTAGTCATCTCTTTTCCAAGCTGAGAAGTCCCAGTCTTCTTAATCGCTCCTCATACCCCAATCATTTTTTTGCCCTTTTCTGAAGCTTTTTCGATTCCAATATATCTTTTTTGAGATGGGGTGACCACATCTGCGCACAGTATTCAAGGTGTGGGCGTACCATGGATTTATATATAGCCAATATGATATTTTCTGTCTTGTTATCTATCACTTTCTTAATGATTCCCAACATTCTGTTCACTTTTTTGACTGCTGCTGCACATTGAGTGGATGTTTTCAGAGAACTATCCACAATGACTCCAAGATCTCTTTCTTGAGTGGTAACAGCTAATTGAGACCCCATCACTTTATATGTATGGTTGGGATGATGTTTTCCAATATGCATTACTTTGCATTTATCAACATTGCATTTCATCTTCCATTTTGTTGCCCAGTCCCTCAGATTTGTGAGATCCTTTTGTAGCTCTTCGCAGTCTGCCTGGGACTTAACTATCTTGAGTAGTTTTGTATCATCTGAAAATTTTGCTGCCTCACTGTTAATCCCTTTTTCCAGATCTTTTATGAATATTTTGCATAGTACTGGTCCCTGTTCAGACCCCTGGGGAACACCACTATTTACCTCTCTCCATTCTGAGAACTGACCATTTATTTACCCTTTTGTTTCCTATCTTTTAACCAGTTACTAATCCATGAGAGGACCTTCCCTCTTAACCCATGGCAGCTTACTTTGCTGAAGAGCCTTCACTGAGGGACCTTTTCGAAGGCTTTCTGAAAATCTAAGTACACTATGTCCACTAGATCACCCTTGTCCACACACTTATTGACACACTCAGCGAATTCTAGTAGATTGGTGATGCATGATTTCCCTTTACAAAAACCATGTTGACTCTTCCTCAACAAATCATGTTCATCTAAGTGTCTGACAATTCTGTTTACTATAGTTTCAACCAGTTTGCCCGGTACTGAAGTTAGGCTTATTGGCCTGCAATTGCCAGGATCACCTCTGGAGCCTTTTTAAAAAGTTGGTGTCACATTAGCTATTTTACAATCATCTGGTACAGAAGCTGATTTTAATGATAGGTTACATACCACAGTTAGCAGTTGTACAAGTTTTCATTCAGTATGATAAACAATTATTTTCCTTGTTAACTCAGAAAGAAGAATATGCAAGGAAGAAGGTGTTTTTTTAATTCATTGAACACCAGTGTGTAGTTATGACTGAATACCTATTTGCAATTCTAGAATAAAAGGAGACAAATTTGAATATTTCATGTGTTCTGGGTCCAAATGTAGGAGAATGCTTGATACTTCTGAATTGGCTATTTGTTTTTACTACTGGAAGAAGAATGTGAATGAAAACCAACCATGGCAATCAGTCATAATAGAAAAATGCTTGTAATAACTAATGTAATCCCAGCCCTGAGGCGTGTCTTAAGCCTTCTCCTTGCTGCTTGGAGTGATTTCTCCCTTCTCACTTTAGGAGTTTGGGTCCTGAGTTCTCTATCTTGGAACCTGGTGCCTCCAACCAAGGTGCCCCTTATTGCCTGGAACACAAGCAGGCTTTCCCTTGGGAAAATGTTTACTAACAGATAATATACTAGGATTGTAGTACAATATGCAAAAAATAAAATAATTATCACTATTCCCAAAGTAACAGTACAACAGCAGAGGGAACTTTATTAGGTACAGGGAACAAAGGGTAAGGGATAAGGAAAGAGAAGAAGTAACTAGAATAATAAAATAACAATCTTACACCCTTCTCCTCCCAGCATTTACAATCAGCCCAGACCTCGCTGCTCCCTCCCAAAGCCCGCCTGGGCAGATAGTGAGTTGAGAATCAGTTCTTTACTGGGTGATGCAGCACTGTAATTGTTGGCTGGCTTAAAACGCGCACATAAAATAAATAGACATAGAATTCCTTATGAGGTCTTCGCCCTAAAAGGGTAGCTTCTTCCTGAGGCTCACTGGTCTGGAGTCCAATAGAAAATTAGGTTGGCTCTTGGTAGCCTGGCCTCCTCAGCCTCCTGTGAAGTTGGTCTCATGGGCTGACATCCTTTAACAATGCAGTAACCACGAACAGAGTTCAACGTTTCTGGTCCACCCAACAACAGCCAAAACCAAAAATAGCCGAAAGTAAAACAAAACTCGTTGTCTCTGGGTTCTGGTTTATGAATGGTTCTTGTGGTAGCTTTCAACTTGTTCAATCTTCACCCTGAACTCTAGGCAATCTTGGAAACTTAGTCCTCAGCCTCTGTAGCCATTGCTTTTGAGGCTCTGAGTAATATGACAGGAACAACCAGCTCCAGAGAGGGTTACACTAATTAAAGTTATTTTTTCTTTTCTCGATATTACTTTATTCAATAATCTAGTTTATTTTGTTGGTAAAAAATAAACCAGGACTGTTTCTTTGAATATCCACTGTGTATTTTAAATTCATTAAAATTTCTTCTTTTTTATACAGAGCTATGATAAATGTTTTCTTGGCTCTTCAGAGACAGCTGATGCAAATAGAGTGTTTTGTGGTCAACTTGGAGCAGTATATGTGTTCACTGAAGCACTCAATCCAGCACAGATATTTGCAATACATCAGTTAGGACCTGGATATAAGGTAATAACTTAATTTATTTCACAAATATAAAAATAGTTTTCCAATTAAAAACACAATGAGGTATTTTTATTTTTTTAGCCAAAGATTTTGTTTGACTGCACCTCTTTTGGGACTGCTTGAGTGGAGGTTTGTGAAATGTTCTCAATGAAATATAAACCACATCTGTGTTTTCCACATCTGTGTCTTTACCAATCAGAAATTCAACCAGCTTTTTAAAAGATTCACTAAATTTTGTTTTCCTTTCAAGCATACTTGAGTGTACAATGTGTGTTTGGGTCAAAAAGAAATCATGTGAAATTGCAATTATATTCTATTCCAAACAAGGGAAATCAAGCCTTTTTATTGTTTTGTACCCCAAACTCAGAGAGGTAACAGACCAAGACGGATCAAAATGTAACCATCTACTCTTATAAAGTGCAAATTCAGAGTTTAAAATGGTTCTGCAGTTGAAATATTAGTGGTCCTTTGGTTTTCATGGTTGTGCTGATGCCATCACGCTAATATTTTCGACAAATTGACGGTACATACGTTACTTTGTTCTCTGATAAAAGCAATATTTATTATTTTCTGTGGAAACTGTAAATAGCATTATTTTAGCTGGTTTGTCTAACTGCAGCAGTTAAGGCATGAGGATGGGAGACAGAGCTGGATTCTATTCCAGACTCCTCTTTGGTGACATAGTGTCAATCTTTTTGAGACTCAGTTTCCCCGTTTGTAAAATGGTAAAACTTTTGGTATTGTTTTTAAAGCACTTTGAGTCCCTCAGAAGTCAGGTGCTATGTATGTGCAAAATACAGAATTTAAATTAACAGATGAAAATAAGGTAAGATACATTTAAACTCCATTAACATTTGGTATTACATTAGGAAAATGATCCTGTAAAAACAAAGTTGTCGTGATATACAGTGAGACTATAAATGTCTCTCATGCTATGTGTATTATATGAATAGGAGAGTATATGTGAGGTACATAGATAATAGGAAATATGTCCTATGTGACTGGTATTTGTAGGTTTTTCTGGAATTCGAAACAATCATATTCACTAGCAGTGAAACAAAACACAATACCTAGTAGACTGTGTATGTTAATGCTTAGTGGAATGAAAGTTGCTTTAGTTCACTGTTTTGTGTCCGAGATCTTGTCTCATTTATTATGGTTGTGGTATCTATTCATTGGTCAACACTTGCAGTGATATTGTGCAATGAGATATAAGCTTTCCTTTATAGAAAAATTAGATATCTAATCCTGATGTTTGTAATGATAATCTTGCCAACATTAAGGATAAATCAATTAAACAATTCCTACTGGAGTTTGCAGAAAGTTTGGAATAATCATTCTGGGATCTGTGAACTCCAAAAACAAAAGCAGACAGTTTAAATACTAACTTTAATTCGTTCACTGCAGATCATTTTATTAGAATCATACAACTACCAGGTTTCTCTCACAATTCCAGGTGGTCTGGTGCACATCCCCCATGCTGAAAGTGTTGTTTCACTTCTGAGCTGCCAAAATCTCAAAATTCCTTCTTGTCAACTTCTATTATGCATTGTATATAAAGTTGCTGTTATACAGAGAACTAGAAAATGTAGTGACCGTGTATAATGAAGTATAATATCACAGTAAATGGGTACTGACTGTATGACTTATTTTCATATTTAATTAATTTAAAAACTCAATTAAAAAAAAGCTGCAGAATTTGTAGTCTGCCATATTAGAACACACAATTCTGGAAACTTCTCAAAAGGTTTGTAGGTCAGTTCCGATAAGTATCCAGATGTTGCCCAGCTATATGAAAACTCTGTAGTTATTATCCTGGGCTGGAAACACTAGAAGAGATTTTTTGTAGTGGCTTTTCAAACTCTACATGTCTGTGCTTGGATAGAAAAACAATTGAGATGCACAAAAACCCCAAAGTAAAGATCATATATTTTAGACAAAGGTTGGGGGTATTTACTTATCTCTGAGCTATTTCACCATCTTGGATGATAATATCAAAGTGTAAAACTGGCACAATATAGTTTTGGGGTGTCACAGGAGAAGCATTTTGATGAGGAATAAGGGAAGTTAGTGAGAAGTATGAAGGAATACAGTTCTTCTAGATGGCATGCTGAGAAATTACCTCAGTGAAGTGTCTTTTGGAAATGATAGAAGGTTTTCATGTGTCCACTACCATACTGCCCCAAAACCAATTTCCTTTATTCCTCTTAGACAATTCAACCTCCATTGTCACTCGATTACAGACTTCAAAGTCGCAATCGCCAACAAAAAAACTTCAAAAACAGACTCCAACGAGAAAGTGCAGAATGGGAATTAATTTGCAAACTGGACACCATTAAATTAGGCTTGAATAAAGACTGGGAGTGGATGGGTCATTACACAAAGTAAAACCTATTTCCCCATGCTAATTTCCCCCCCTACTGTTATCACTACAAAAGTTTTTTTTTCTCCTGCTGATAATAGCCCATCTTAACTGATTACTCTCATTATAGTTAGTATGGCAACACCCATTTTTTCATGTCCTCTGTGTGTGTGTATATATATCTACCTACTGTATTTTCCACTGCGTGCATCCAATGAAGTGGGTTTTAGCCCACAAAAGCTTATGCTCAAATAAATTTGTTAGTCTCTAAGGGCTTGTCTATACTTACGCGCTGGTTCGGCGGCAGGCAATTGAACTTCTGGGTTCAATTTATCGCGTCTTGTCTGGACGCGATAAATCGAACCCAGAAGTGCTTGCCGTCGACTCCGGTAATCCTGCTCGGCGTGAGGAGTACGCGGAGTCGAAGGGGGAGCCTGCCTGCTGCGTCTGGACCGCGGTAAGTTCGAACTAATGTACGTCGACTTCAGCTACGTTATTCACGTAGCTGAAGTTGCGTACCTTAGTTCGAATTGGGGGGTTAGTGTAGACCAGGCCTAAGGTGCCACAAGTACTCCTCATTCTTTTTGCTGATACAGACTAACATGGCTACCACTCTGAAATATTTAGGTCTGGTTCCTCCCTGAAGAAATGGTCTTTCTGTGTGTTCTGAGACCCCATGTATTCATAATTTTTATTCTTGTTACTTTAACAACTGCAAGGTTAATAGAAGACAGCATACTCTCTTCTCTTAGACTTGGTTTAAAAGCATTTGAACCCTTACTTTTTTGAGCAAGGTGACATGATAGATTAGTATACTGCTGTAAATCGATAATGTACTAAAAAAGCCTAGCAGCAGGAACATCTCTTAGCAGTCACAAAAAAAGAGTAAGTCAGGTAGATAGGAACAAAAATAGAAAAGATGTCTGCCTGAGGTGCTATCAAAATTATACCAGACAATTAAGAAGGATGCCAAAGTCATAAATATACTAAGATTCAGAATTAAGGCCACTTTACAAAACAGTGATGAGGATGCTCAGATGCTCAAATAAAAGGCTGCTCAATTCTGAACATTTATCTGTTAATGATTAATACCAAAATTTTTAATATATATACAGAAAATACAGTGTTGGTATCGACATCCCTAAATAATTGGATCTCAGTAACACCATATTATTCTCAATCCTATATGTCTTATAGATCATTGGTAGGGTGACCATACATCCCGTTTTGGGTGGGACAATCCCTTTTTTAAGTGCTGTCCCGGCTGTCCTGACTTTTTTTGGCAAAACTGGACACTTGTCCGGTTTGCTCTTGCCAACTGATCAACTGGACAAATGCACAGTTTTGCCAAAAAGTGGGGTGCGACCCCCAGCGGGGTACAGTCTGGGAGGAAGGGCTCAGGAGAGTGGCTCAGGCTGGGCTGAGCGGGTGGGTGGCAGGGGGTCTCAGGCTGGCCCCACATGCCAGGGAGGAGAGTTTTTTCCCTTTGGGAAAATATGGTCACCCTAATCATTGGAATATATTAATCAGGGTGGATTTGATTTAAATTACTAGACAGGAAGACTCGATTTAATCATGTTTTTCTACATAAAAGTGCATTCTTGTTGGTTGTTATAACTTTAATACATATTCTTCATAACTCAGAGATAGATGTAGGTTTCATTTTTAGAAGGTACACACTATACATTTGTAAACAGTGATTTATTTTGAAAACTTTTCAGATTAGTTTTACAGCTATATTAGAAAATGAATGATTGTTTGGTTATTTCATTTACCAAAGGTAATTGAAGCAGATATTTATGAAGTCATTGGGAGGTGAACTATCTCCAATTCAACAGGCTAATCATCACCAGACAGAGCATGTAAATTGTTTTATTTAACTAAAACAACAACGTTATATATTCTGGATTTTTTTCTTCAGCAGCAAACATATAATATTTTAACAAAACAAGCATATGTCCCTCGCTTCTCACATTTATCGCCAGACTTCTTCTCCTTGTCCAGATCTATTCCGCCCCCAACAATCTTCTATTCATTGAACTTTTTGAAACTTTGCACTTTAGAGAGAGATAAGGGCTTTACTCTGTGTACACAAATTAGCAGAGGGACAATAGAGTTGAGGTCTGTTATTTCTCACCTCTATATATTTATTTATTTAAAAAACATTTTTTGCTGGTAACAAGCACGTTACCTCTGGGGAGAGAAATCCACAGTTTGAGAACTGCAAAACTAAGCATCTCTGATGGTATCTTCTACACTGAGCACTGAGTCCAATTGGGTAGATAGAAAGATTAACCTAAATAATGTATACAGAAGCCTGTGGAACCCCATAAAATTGGGTCCCTAATCCATGAACTATTGGAACTCATTTACAAAACTTTTCTTAAACATTACATGAATATATTGTCTCATACTGTAGAATTAGAATTTATAATCCCTATTCCATGATGAGATATCTTTGAGCTATAATGTATCTTAATTAAAACTATCTTTAGATAGGTTTTTTTCCTCAAAAAACATTTTATCAAAAAAATCTGATTTAGGTAAAAAAAATAATTTTTTTTTAAATAAAAAAAAATCTGATTTCTATCCACCCTAATATGATTTAAATATGGGGTGAAAACAACTTTGACAAAGCTGG